GATTACTGGCATATAGCACGGCAATCATGACTCGACTGTCTTTTTGCAATTCTGTCAGAGTGTTCAGTTATTTCTGTGACTATGCACCTGTGTTTAGACTTGCCTGTAATGATTACTCATTACAGTGGTCCTTGGCTTCAGCTTCTTTGGGCAATCTCATATTCCCCTTTACTTTTATTATTCTGTCCTATCTCATCATCATAGTGACAGTGTGTAGGATGAAATCAGTCAGCAGTAGAATGAAAGCTCTCACCACTTGCATTGAGCACCTCATTCTTGTTGCTATATTTTATATTCCTATATTCAGCATTTTCTTATTTGGACTGTTTATACGAGCCATTGACCCAGACCAACGTGTGCTGAGCTTGTCACTGGCCGTATGCATCCCGCCCTGCATCAATCCTATTGTATATTCCTTGAAAACAAAAGAGATCAAAAATAGAGCCCAGGCACTGATCTGGAGAATGAAAACGAACCCTTGATGACCCATCCCAAATCAATGTGTGGAGGCTTTTAATTCTGTCATGAAACTGTCCAGACTGTATGTATGTGTATGTGTATATGTGTGTGTGAGTGTGTGAGTGTGTGTTTGTGTGTGTGTGTGTGTGTGTGTGTGTGTGTGTGTGTGTGTGTGCGCACATGCACGTGTGTGTGGTGAGACAAAAAGGAACCTATTTTATTGTTTGTCTGAATCATAAGCATTATTTAAAAATGCCCTAGTTCCGACACATTTGTAAAGTAATATCATATATTCCCTATTAATTATTTTTACCATTAATTAAACACGCACCAAATTAAACAGGAGAACATTTACAGACACACTATACTTGGTTGTTCTTGAATGTAATGTTATGATATTTGTACATTTGACTGCTTTCACCCTTATCTGCTACAGAAGACTTCTGTCTTAAAAACTCCTTATAATTGTGTAATGGTGTTTACCTGAGGTACTTGTAGAGGTACTTTTTGTTTTTATGTCTGTTTGATGTGTATTATTGACTTTTATTCATCATTCGATTGTTTTATTGTCGTAAATTTTTAATCTTACACAATCTTTTTTTGTGTGTGTGTTGCAGCTTTAATCCTGCCTGTGAAGCACTTTGGGATACATGTTTGTTTGAAAGGTGCTATATAAATAAAGTTGAGTTGAGATGTGTTGAGTTGACCTTTTAAGTCAGTGTGGTAGTTGCTCCTCCACAAATAAGCACCATGTCAGACAAATTCAACGATTACAAATAAAATATCTACTGAAATAAGACCTGTGACCGAAATCTAGTTCTGTAGTCGCAATAGGACACTTGCCCACAATGAATGAACAATAACTAGTGGTAAATTATTTAAAGTCTGAATGGAGGTAAGTGTTTGTAAGGCCTTTAACAAATTTTATAAAAGCAGAACCAGTAGGTTAGAGCTTAAACATCTCATTTGATTGAGCATAGAATCTTCAGAGGACACTGGGTGGAGCGTCAAGGCAAAAACTTCTGGCCTTTCCCTTGAGGCTCTTTTAAAGCAGGTGTAATTTGAATGAAATGACAGTTTCACACAAGCATCAGTGTACATCCACAAGTATTTCCCTCCATTTTTAATTGTTTTTATTCCTAATAAGTGCCACTGAGATTAATTAGCCTGAAGATTATACAGTAAAAGGTTTGTTTGTTAAAAACAAAAACAAGGTCATTAACTAAAATTCTCTGGTGATGGCATCAGAAATTGAGCTCATTAGAGTCATTTTTTTTTGGCTCACCATGATCTGTTTAATGATAAATGCATCCTCAGGGAACATTATGCAGTGGACAAGTCGTCATATGTGTTTGTGACTGTTTATTTACTGTCAGTGGTGGAAAGGAACTAAATACATTTACTCAACTACAATTCTGGGGTGTTTGTCATTTTCATGAGTATTTTAATTTGTTGCTACTTTTACTTCTACTCCATATGTTTCAGAGGGAAATGTTGTACTTCTTATACCACTTTGTTCATTTAACAGCCACAGTTACTGGTTACTTTGCATATTAGAAATGTAAAAACCTATGTATCCCCTTATCATATACTATATTTTGATATTTGAAACATATTCTTATAACATTTCAATAATGGTTAAATTTGGACCCAACCATAGGTTGGTTTTAACCAACCAAATCAGTTTTATCCATGCCATATTAAGCTTATTATTTCATGTATCCGTAAATTATCAGTCAGATAAATATGTTATGTTTGGTTTGAATGTAGGACAACCTTGATCAGAATAAATAACCTATAGCCCTAATCTCCAAGGTTCAAATTCATTTTATTGATAGTGTATTGAATAAAGACTTTTTCAGTCTCTGCTGAAAGTTGTCTCCGAATTGATCTCCGGAGATCAATTTAAGCTTCCAATCAGGAGACAGCTGAGATCAATCAGGAGAGTATATCACTATCCACAAGTTAGACATGCAGCCATCTGCACACTGCTATTGCAGGGAGCATTATGCAGAGTTATGCCAGATGATGTTTAACAGAAAACCAGGTAAGCTTCATTGACTGACTTCAGGCATTTTAATAAATGACTCAACTTACTAAGAATATATTTTATAAAGATGTCAGTGGTCTAATGTACAATATGATGTGATTTCCTTGTTTTTCAGACTGGAGAGACTTTACACATCATCGTCCAGACGGCGTCCTCCAGCACACAGTCTGTGGACTTCAACTATGTCTTTTCTCAGGACTGTTTTAAACGACTCCGTCATCATTCATCCTCCAGGCTTCTATATCATTGGATTTCAGTCGTTTCCCTACATCAGTGTCTACTTCATCTTTCTAGCGTTTGTGTATGTGGTTACAGTGCTGTTTAATTGTTTGGTGATCTGTGTAATTGCCTTTAATCATCGTTTACACACTCCAAAATTTTTGGCTGTTGTCAACCTCGCAGTAATTGATGTTATCTTAAACACATGTACTATTCCCAGCATGATAAAGATATTTCTCATTAAGGACAATTTCATTCCATTCAACTTGTGTTTGGTACAAATGTTTTTTTACTATGTTTTTGGGACTTTGGAGTCATATGCACTTGCTGTACTTGCATATGACCGCTTGATCGCAATATGTTTCCCTCTGCGTCAAAACTCAGTCAACACACTGCGGAGCATGTCTTGTATTGTCGGCCTGACTTGGTCTTTTGCTCTGGGAATCATCGCGTTTGCAACAGGTATAATAACTCGACTGTCTTTTTGCAATTCTGTCAGAGTGTTCAGTTATTTCTGTGACTATGCACCTGTGTTTAGACTTGCCTGTAATGATTACACAATGCAGTGGTCTGTGGCCTCTTTGCTTACTTTCCTGCTCCTGATAGGACCTTTTACTTTTATTCTCCTGTCTTATGTCACCATCCTGGTGACAGTGTTCAGGATGAAATCATTGGACAGTCGAGTGAAAGCTTTGGCCACATGTGTTGAACATATCATCCTGGTTGCTGTATTTTACATTCCTCTCATTACCATTTTCATGATTGGGTTTTATCTGCGACTCATTGATCCAGACCAGCGTGTGCTGAGCCTGTCACTGGCCTCTTGCCTCCCACCCTGCATCAATCCTATTGTATATTCTTTGAAAACTAAAGAGATAAAAGTCAGAGTCCTGGCACTGCTAAGAAAAAAATAAATTCGCACAGACCACCAGAACAAACCTGGAGGGTTAAGGAAATGTTACGAAACTTCCGGCCCTAAACGTTTGTGTAGTGCGTCAAAGCCAGTAGCCTGGGCTCTTTTCAATTAAATCCAGGTTTTGGTCAAAACAGGTTTAATAAGACCTTTAACATAGGATGTATAATTTAACACTGCAGATGCTGCTTGTAAAATCGCTTGCTTCAATTGTCTATTTTGGTTTCTTAACAGATAACAATGATCAGAATGTCATCAAGGCGTTAGATCAGCTGGTCCTCACAACCCACTGTTGAACTGACATTGCTAAAGAAGAGCATCTTTGCTTGTGAGGTTTGAAATTAATTCAGCCCAATTAATGGATTTGTGTCTGTAAGTCTGTGTTCAAACATGCGACTTGTCCTCAGATGTATTGTCTATATTCTAACATGTCAAGTATGGAAAATGTGAGGCTGTTGTGATGTTGTGATGAGTTTTGATTAATTTTATTACATTCACACATCTAATTTTAAAATTTTAGGCTTCTTGAGTTACTCAGTAATTTTATATTTGATGAGATGTTTGAATGACTGAATTATTATTCTAACAGTCAGATCAAAGCATCGTAGGGGATGCTTTCAGAGCAGCTTTCCCCCGTTTGTGAATTCATTTATACTGATATCCATTCAAAGCAACATTGTACAAAACATAAACGTATGCCAAACAATATAATTAAATAAGTTTTTGCTTTGTCATTATGGGATACTGTATAGATTGATGAGGGAAAAAAATACATTTTGATTTTAGCATAAGGCTGCAACATAACTAAATGTGAAAAAATGAAGGGGTCTGAACACTTTCTGAATGCAGAGTATGTTACTATTTTGATAAGCTAATTGATATTTCATTGATTTGCTTATACCTGACTCAAAAACATCTTCCTTGAGAGTTTACTGTTATCATGGAACAATTAAATGAACAAGATTATATACCCCATTCATGCTAGTTCTCTTATTGTTGAAAATAATATTACTGTTGTTCCGCATACTCTCCTTATGTGGTGAAAAAATGTGAACACAGCAGCTTCCAGGAGAATAACTCCTGCTGATAGAATTTTTTTAAAAAAAATTCTGTTGGCAATTTCGAAATACTACGTTTCATCAGAAGCTCTAGGCCGCAAAATCTTTTGAATATACTGAGTGGTATAAAACATTTCTTAAGCCATTTGATGTCAAAGGTGTATATTCACAGAGAGATACAAGCCACAAGTCTCTCAGTGAACGAGCTCATCCTCATCAGCTGTGTTCTCCCTATGCAGCGGAACTGATGTCTGCGCTGACGGAGGTATTTTACGGCGACACCTCCGTCCTCCGCTCAAACGTGTCCTCCGTGTCACACTAACATTGACTGTGTGCTTGGTTGTTAAAAGTCCGGAGTCGTGCAGGTTATGAAACTTAATTTGAGCACCTCGATGGACAGATTCGCCCAGAGAGACTAAGCAGGTGAGGACAACGGAGAGAAACGCGATCATGTGTGTCGACAGGATCTAGTTTCGATCATGTTGGGTAACGACGAAGGAGCAAAGCTGCCACACTGACAGGCATTTTCGTTGCTGGTAACGTTGCTCAGTCATGGGGGAAGTATTCTCATATATACTGTACTTAAGACAACGTAGCCATACTGCAATTTAAAAAAATACATTCACTACAAGTGAAAGTCCTACATTTCCACCGAAGTGAAAGTCAGGAAGCAGTTTATTATTAGTACAGTGTACTTGACTCTGCAACATGCCCTCTGTCGCAGTGCAATACAGTTGTATGCACAGGTTCGGGCACCTCTCGACAAAATCAATATTTAGTTTATTTTAGTGCTAAAAATAAGTAAATACAATCCCACCATGAACAGACATAGTAAACGAACCTCTCCTCAAATGTTAATGCTCTGTTGCCTCAACTTAAAAATAAAAAACTAAGTATATAGCAGTTAAATGCGCATAAAGTGGAAATACTCAAGAAAAGTCCAAACTGTACTCATACAGTACTGCACAGTTTACAGTAAAGTACGAACCTTGGTTAAATTTTTACTTGAAAACCACCACTGCTGTTACGCAATAATGGACAACTTTATACTACACACATCAGATTTACAACATAAACACAAAGATATGATTATTTTTCTTTTTCTGATATGTAGTTAAAAGGGGATATATGAGATGAGAAAGGTTTACAGCACACACCAACCATAAAGATTCATAAAAGATGAGACAATATGATTAAAACTCAAATACAACTTAAAATTACTGATGAAATACAGCAGTACCTTAAATCCCTCTCAGGTCTCTAGAAGGCAGATTAAAGAAAGTGTGTTGGATTACTACAGATTTTACAGGCAGAGATTTAGATGCTGAAGGGGCAGCTATATCGATGTGTGGTTTTTCCTTAAACTGACTTATCACTTTCTAATATACAACATCTTGTGTTTTCCTCAGCAGACTGACTGAGGCAGCACGGTGCATTTAAACTTGATGGCGTCCCCTTCACCCCATGACCGAAGGCGGAAAGATGACGAGGACGACCCTATTGAACGGATGATCTCACGCACTGGCTGCGCCGAGCTACATTATTCTGTGCAGGAGTGCATGGCTGAACACCAGGACTGGCGAGTGTGCCAGAACCAGGTCCAGACTTTCAAAGATTGTATGATGAATTTCCAAAAAGCCAGGAAAGAACAGCTGATGAAGCAGCAGCCAACTTCCACTGAGTCTGCACCCAGCTGAACTCCCTCACACAAACACAAACACACACACACACACACACACACACACACACACACACACACACACACACACACACACACACACACACACACACACACACTGGCTGGGGTGTGTTCAGGACCTGGTTCAAAAGACTGTACCTAATTTAATCATTTGTAGTGAAAATAAAGTATAAGCAGCTCCATAAAATCCTGGCTTTGATTGTCAAATTTATGGTGGGGGGCCGACCGATAAATTTGAATGACTGATAAGTAACAAGAAACTGTACAGTTTGAGTACAGGAATGACAAAGACATGTTTGAGGAAGTTTGTCTTTCAATTATATACCCACTTCAGGAGTGTGTGCTTATTTATGAATGTGAAGTCAGTTGTTTTGAGTTTGATTTACTGTTTTCTTTCTCTCTCTCTTTCTCTCTTTCTCTCTCTCTCTCTCTCTCTCTCTCTCTCTCTCTCTCTCTCTCTCTCTATCTCTATATAATATATAATATTCTATTAATATTATAAATATATATAGTGATGATATACGGCTACGTAATAGTATAGGATATATATATGTATTATAATTATAATGATAATAAGTATCTATATCTATATTAGTATGATATATGAGTATATAATAGAGTATGGTATAATCGTGGATATTTATACGTATAGCGTATAAGGTAATCAGTAAAAGTAATATATCCTATATCTTATATATGTATATATATATAAATATATTAACATATTATACTGATATATAATATATATATATATATATCTAATATTATGTAATAGTAGGCGTATAGTCTATATATAATGATCTATATAGTGATTCTATATTATGATATATACTAATATATATATATATATATATATAGAAGAAATATAAAATAATAAATATGCATAGTATATGGCTCAGTAAAGGCAGATATTAGATTAAAATAATCTAATCTCTGATTTTTTATTTTTTTTAATAAAACCACTGTGATGAGTCTATGAACTGCAAGAAACCAAAGCATTACCACGAACAACAGAAGTCAGTGACTCCAAAGAGTGGAACCCTGGAAAGTAACAGTTAACCAGTTGTTACACTCTGTCTGCTGTCACAAGAGGTCACTGTTTGGGTGAGGAAAGTTATTATTTTTTCATTGAGCTTATAGGTTACAAAGTTGTGGAGTTGTGGTGTGCTCTGTGTGTGTGTGTGTGTGTGTGTGTGTGTGTGTGTGTGTGTGTATGCAGTTGGCCCCTCTCTCACTCTCTGACACAGACAACCTTTCTGTGTCAGTGAATTTGGGGTGAATTATAAATATCTTTTCAATCCTCACTAAATCATCATTCAGGACAATGATTAGATGTTCAGTCAAAATAACGCTCTATCCCTGCTCTCCATGGATCAAATTATCATTAATATGGTACTGCAGAATGACTCCCTCACTAGCAGTATGATGCTTTATCTCTGGGGATAAATGAGGAAAGTATATCTGCTACTGTCCTCAAGTAAGACGGCTCTGCTGCGTTTGGATGCAGCGTTAATTACAGCTGCTGCTAAGTATTGAAAAAACAGAGCATCAAACTGGCATGAAAAATATAAATGTGATTCATAGCATTTATAGAGTATTTATAAGGGTCTAAAATACAATATGATATGATTCCCTGTTCTTTAGACAGGAGAGCTTTTATGCAGAGGGCGTCCTCCAGCACACAGTCTGTGGACTTCAACTATGTCTTTTCTCAGGACTGTTTTAAACGACTCTGTCATCATTCATCCTCCAGGCTTCTATATCATTGGATTTCAGTCGTTTCCCTACATCAGTGTCTACTTCATCTTTCTAGCGTTTGTGTATGTGGTTACAGTGCTGTTTAATTGTTTGGTGATCTGTGTAATTGCCTTTAATCATCGTTTACACACTCCAAAATTTTTGGCTGTTGTCAACCTCGCAGTAATTGATGTTATCTTAAACACGTGTACTATTCCCAGCATGATAAAGATATTTCTCATTAAGGACAATTTCATTCCATTCAACTTGTGTTTGGTACAAATGTATGTATATTATACATTTGTGTCATTGGAGTCATATGCACTTGCTGTACTTGCATATGACCGCTTGATCGCAATATGTTTCCCTCTGCGTCAAAACTCAGTCAACACACTGCGGAGCATGTCTTGTATTGTCGGCCTGACTTGGTCTTTTGCTCTGGGAGCAACAGCATTTACAACAGGTATAATAACTCATCTGTCTTTCTGCAATTCTGTCAGAGTGTTCAGTTACTTCTGTGACTATGCACCTGTGTTTAGACTTGCCTGTAATGATTACACAATGCAGTGGTTTGCAGCTTCTTTTCTCACTGTTTTGATCCTTGGAGGACCCTTTATTTTCATTCTCCTGTCTTATGTCACCATCCTGGTGACAGTGTTCAGGATGAAATCATTGGACAGTCGAGTGAAAGCTCTGGGTACATGTGGTGAACATATCATCCTGGTTGCTGTATTTTATATTCCTCTTCTTGTCATTTTCATGATTGGGTTTTATCTGCGGCTCATTGATCCAGACCAGCGTGTGCTGAGCCTGTCACTGGCCTCTTGCCTCCCACCCTGCATCAATCCTATTGTATATTCTTTGAAAACTAAAGAGATAAAAGTCAGAGTCCTGGCACTGCTAAGAAAAAATAAAATCGGCACAGACCACAAGAAAGGTTGCAAAACTTCAGGCCCTTAACGTTTGTGTACCGCATCAAAAGCCAGTAGCCTGGGCTCTTTTCAATATTAAATCCAGATTTTTTGTCAAAACAGGTTTAATAAAACCTTCAACATGGGATTTATAATCTAACACTGCGGGTGCTGCTTTAAAGTCTCTTCCTTTAATTGTCTATTTTGGTTTCTTAACAGATAACAATGATCAGAACGTTGTCGAGGCATTCATTCTGGGATCATCTGATTTCACAGTAGATGCTTTCATTGGTGTTGCTTTAAACAAGTTTTGTCTCATCTGGTCATTTTAATGAAGGTTATTCCACACAATGGGACAATTGCAGATGAGTTGGTGCAAATACTTTTACAAATACATTTTAGACAAAGTTTTGTTAATGAAACAAGATCCTAAAGGCTCAGCTGCTCCTCACAGACCACTTTTGAACTGACATTGCTGAAGAACAGCATCTTTGCTTGTGAGGTTTGAATTTATAATAATAATAATAACTTTATTTATATAGCACCTTTTTAAAACAGAGTTTACAAATTGGTTTGACAAATGAATCAAAAGCAAGGATGGTCAAAATTAGGACAGACATACAGTAGAGATACAGAGGGAGGACAAACAATATGCTTCAATATAAACAAAGACTGTTAGAAGGAGCAGATGCCGTAAAATTAATTCAACCCGATAAAGGCAGTTGTTTCTGCAGGTCCGTGTTCAAATATGTGACTTTTCTTCAGGTGTTTTGTGTACCTTCTAAGATGTCAAGAGGCACCGGTCAGGAAAAAACTGGCACACAACAAACATAGCCAGAGGCTGAACTGTGTAGAATCTTATCATTTCTGTCAACAGAAAGGTGCCAGATTGGCACTGTTTGGTTTAACCAGGAGGTTATCAGTGTCAAGAAGGCTATAAACAGGGTATGGCTCCAAACCATACAATTGTTAATTATAACTTTAACATGATTCAAATAAAAGTTGCAATTAGGGGAAATACACTTATGCATATCCATTCTTGTGGCTATGGTGAGTCAACTGAATGAACTCAAGGCCTTAAAATTGATAAATGTATAATTTGATGTATTCATTTTACTACCTTTGTGTAATATGTTGAAAAAAAACTGTTCAAATTGTCTGTGCCTACTTTTTACAGACATTATATTTATTCTGAATATCCTGATCATTGTGGGCCAATGTGATGTCACTGTAAATAAAACATTATAAATATAAATGATTTTGTTCATCAGTAATACTTTACACACTGATTGCACCGCACACATGCCTATGTGCTCTGGCCTTTCTTGTCCAGTTCCTCATAGAAAGGATGATTATGTAAACATTCAAATAAATAATTTTGGAGTAGCCGACTGGCATGTACTATATGCCCCTGTGACCTCCCACAACACATTTAAAGAACCTATCACACTAAAAGCTTAACTGCTGGAATTATAATGTTTCGGAGTTCCAGGATGTAGAAACTCTGAAGCTTTATTGATTAAACTACTCTAAAGGGTCTTGAAGCTGCTATGCAAAAAGCAGTGCACTACCATGAACATGAAATACAAACGTGAATATGTTGTTAGTACCCTCATCAGAGAGATCTTTTACAACTGTTCATTTTTCTCTTGCACACCCTGTTGAACAAAATAATGCAAATAAGAATTTTAATGTAATGAAAACTGTACATTTAACTGTAGTCATAAAGTTCTAGTCACTAATGCAAAATGAGTCGAAGAATGATGTGTTGAGTATAAATGGTGAACGGAAGTTAGTTATTGTAAGAAGGAAGCTGGCAAAGTGGAAAGTTCAAGGCTATTGGTGCTTCTCTTGCCATTTCCTTCAAGTTTTTAATTGTTTTTATTCTTAGTAGGTGCAACTGAGATTAATCAGTCTGAAGTTCAAACAGTAAAAGGTTTATTTGTTAGAAACAAGGTCATTAACCAAAATTCTCTGGTGATGGCATCACAAATTGAGCTCATTAGAATCATGCTGTTTCGGCTCACAGTGGCTTGTTTAATGATAAATGCGTCCTCAGGGAACATTATGTCATCATATTGTACTGTTTATTTTGTGCAAACCAAGTTCTAAAAGGTTTGATAAGTTGTTACAGTTTTATATAGTGTCTCATTAACGTGTTGGAAGAGTTAATTATATTAAAAATTATATTATATGTATATATATATATATATATATAAGCAAAATAATTCTTCCTCCTCTGGGTTTCATGTGACCAAGAAGAAAGGTCTAGATCAATCAGTGACTGAACTGTGGACATCCTGATTTCTTCATTTAGTCACCAAAGGTCAGAGAGGTCATGCTCATTAAGTTGGGAAAACATAGTGCTGGACTGGACTCTGATTTATGCATGGTTTGAAAAAGATCTGTTTGAGTTGTCTCGGGAAAACTCGCATATGTTTCCCTTTGCGTCAAAACTCAGTCAACACACTGCGGACAAGGACCATCGTCTGCTGAGCCTGTCACTGGCCTCTTGCCTCCCACCCTGCATCAATCCTATTGTATGTTCTTTGAAAACCAAAGAGATCAAGACCAAACCCTTCGCATTAGTAAGAAAAAATTAAATTGGCACAGACCGCCAAAAGAGCAAACTTTGGAGAGTTGTTCAAATCAAACAAAAATTTAATCTGTAATTGTTTGTGTAGAGAGAAGAGCAAAATAAGGTAACATTTTAGGAAAGCCATGGTAGCCATAGAAACTGGCATTAGTTTCAAAATGATGACCCACATCATTGCAATTTCAAGCTTTGATAATTTATCCTCTGCCTTTCTACGGTTTTAGTAAATTCCAATATTTCAGAATAAAATACAGTGACTATAAAAAGGGCTTTCACGGTAGGACTCATTTAACATATAAACAAATTATTACTTCACTGTTTTTTCCTTTTGAAGGTGTAACACAATAAATGTCTGTCCTTCTAAGGTTTGTGTGATGTATTTCTTTTCAAAGATTTAATTCTTGCCTCATCATATGGCAATAACATATCTCATATATACTATACAGAGGTGCATTGCTATTTAAACAACTCTTGTTATCCTATATGATTAAGGTAAAGTATGACACATTATACTGTATACCATACTATAGTGGTGGACACACGCCAGAGAATGGTAATATGATGAGTGCCTGCCCTCTAGTGGGTTTATGTGTATAGTGCAAGCTGTACCATGAGTGGCAGTCATTAATCTATGACTGCCCTACATGGTCTACTGCTACATTTAATTCACAGGTGCACTCACTGCCATAAGAATGGGACAATCCGTCAGTCTATTCCTCTGCGAAAGAATTAATATTACTATTTCACGTATATGATTTCATCCCCTGCCCAAATGTCTTCAATAAAGCAACACAATAACTGATAGTGTTGATATGAAAGACTCACAGTTATGAATGTTATGGATGCTTAAAATTCTAGCGCCTTGATGAACAAAATTGATGTGAGAGGATAAAAAGCTATTAAGAAGGGTGAATAGGGGGACAAACTTTAATCCCATTCTCAATATCTTTAGCTGAAGGGACATCACATTAACTATATGATTTTTTTTTTTTAGAGAAAAATCAACCCATTGTCAGTACCTGGTATGAATAATCTCTATAAAACAACATAAAATCCTGGCCTGGACTTCAAGGAGTGTGGGGGATGATGGATATTTGGGATGTACAGAAGAAGGCCCAACACTTTGTTTTTCTAAAATCAAAGCATTCCTCATTTCATTTTAATCAGTCACAACATATACAACCAAAATCAAATTTGCAAAAACTCTGTTGTATGGTTCCTTTTTCCCACCCTCTGGAAGTGAATTAAATACAAATGTATAATGTGATTACCCTCTTACACTGTCCAAAAGAAAAAATAGCTGCATCTTCGCCTCCACTTAGTGATATTAGTCAAGACTAGATACACAATAAGCATAGGTCATAAAAAGATAATAAAAGAAAAATAAATCCTATGCACAGATATCAAAGTCCCACTTTTGCACGGAAGTATAATATAGGAATACTTCAGACAGTATGGATTACTTAAATAGGGTAAGATGTTTACACATGTTTTGAAAACGTTAAAAACAGTCAAACAAGCTTCACAAAAGTGTGGTATTTGAACTGCTGCATGTTTCACTGTTTTATAACACTGGGTTCACCTTTCTTTCAAGAATCGTGTTTTGCTGACATAAATATTATTCATGCCACTCAGGATGATTAAATGTGTCACAGTGGGACTGTTAGCCTGTATTCAACCATAATAAGGGCAATAAAATTTGGACCTTACATGAAACTGAGTTGATGTGTGATTATAATGATATAATGACGTTTGAGATAATTAAAACCCAATTCAGTGTATATTAGCAACATTTGGAAATCCCTCATTTCAAATTGCATGGGAGATTATAGCTAATGCAATACAATTAAACCATTTCCATTGGTATTTAGATTTAGCAAAATAAATTGAATTACATTCCTTCATGCGTCAATACAGTCGTGATGAAGTGTTCACCGTTTTGGATGAAGTAATATTGCTAAGCCTATATCGTTTGCAAAACTTCCTGATAGAGTTCAACACTTCCTCTGTCTTTAAAGAGTATACAATAGGGTTGAGCAAAGCTGGTATGGTATGTGTCAAAGAGGAGTTTATGATCCTTGCATTAGGATGGATGTAGGAGGCCACTGCAGCTATGTTGGTGCCCACAACTGGCAGAAAGAAAATAGCCACAAGGATCAGGTGAGAAGTACAAGTTTTCATTGCTTTGAGTCGTTCCTCTGTTGATGCAATCCTGCTCAGTGCTATGGAAATGCAAACATATGTGATTGCTATCAATATAAGTGGACAACAGAGTACTATAATAAAAGCAACATATGCCATTATGTTATTCAAAGACGAGTCATTACAGGCCAGACGATATACCGGTGCATGATCACAGAAAAAGCTTTTTACCACCACAGATCCACAGAAGGAAAGGCGATCAATAATTCCAACTGTAAATGCTACTAGACTTGATAAAAAAATCCATATGAATAGCAGCATTGCAGCAATAGCTGGTTTCGTTACAATACTATGGTACCTTAAAGGGAAGCAAATTGCTATGAATCTGTCATATGCCATAGTGACAAGTGTCCATGACTGCACACTGACAAAGAGCAAAACAAAGAACATGTAACTTAAGCAAGCCTCATAAATAATATATCTCCTGTCAAACAAAAATGTGTCTAAGAGTTTTGGGATGAGAGCAGTGCTGCCACACAAATCTGTAAAAGCCAGGTTGAACACAATCATGTATTTAGGCGTATGAAGAGTCTTGACCATGTAGATAACTGAGAGGAGTAGGCCATTCCCAAGAACAGTCATGATAAAGACAAAACACAGAAAGACATAGTAATAAGTAACATGAGGGATGTTGGAAAAACCGCTGAGATAGAAATTTGCAGGACGAACGAATGTGGCATTGAATACGATAGCAGCTTTCTCTTCCAGGCCCATTATGAATATCTGTTTCCCTAAATGTGAAAAGAGAAAATAACAGAATATATATATATAATAAAGGATGACACAGATGGTTGATATAACTGCTGTAACCAAACTCACCTGAGACAATATCAAGTGTGCAGTGCACTAAAGTGAGTTCTGGGAGAGAGCCATCGTTTATATTTTATCCCTTTCTTGTGGGACGGAAGAAATGCAGGTGTCTGTGTCACATGGTCATAAATTCGATAATTTACATCAATGTGTAATTGTCTCGTAGTTTACGTCATCAATGTGCTGATGCAATCAGCTGAGTTAAGTATAGTCACCAAGATACTGAATTGTCTGTTAATGGCACAGTGTAGAAACAGGACAAACTTAGGTACTGCAAGCTACAGCTAAGTATTAGTGGACCCTCAATGAGCGCAAGGCCATTACCCAGTGCAAATCTTCTGTCTATTTTTTTTTTTTTTTGCAGTCTGATCGATGTTACATGTGTGCTGTATCACACTGCAGAACTCATATTTCTATTTACTTTGTTGAGTAAAAACGATTGAAACAGATTTTGATTTTAATCATGCATATTTTACCATATTTTGAATGTTTGTACCTTAGAGTTTTTACATCTTCTGCTGTTTGGCAAGTGTTTGTCATGTTCTGACTAAATAGAACAGTTTAAAAACACACTCGAATGTCTGGTTTCTTCAACTTTCACTCAGGAGCAAAAATCAGCCTTTAAACGTGAAAGACATAACAATGTGGCGTTTATCGTGATAAATATCGATATTGACTGATATGGACATTTTTATTGTGATAACAGTTTTGGCCATAACGCGCAGCCCTAACACCAACACAAATAGTTCCACAACTGGACTGGTACTGGACGGTTGCTAAGCAACACAAACATTTTCCTGACCTGATGATGTCATATGAGCGCACCCATTTGGTGAAACCTGCAGCTGAGAATTAATATTTTTAAATGTTCTAAAAATGGGATGGTATATTGATCCATCTATTCTGATTTAAGTTGATTCAGGCATACTTAATGAGTCTGTATGAGATCTTTGAGCTATCAACATTATCAATGTGCAATTTTCCAAGATGTGAAAATAAATGTTAACAAAAACATGTACAGTTATTTCATTTCAAACTGCTATATGTAATATTTTAAAATATTTTAATGTATACATCTATATGGTGAAGTACTGTAAAACAGCAGTCACTGGTGATGCTGTCGTTTTACCAAATGAACGGCTGTGTGCAGTGAGAACATATCACATCTTTATATGTCAACTGCAACAGCAAAGTACAACAAATTACAAGAAATCACATAACAGCCAAAACTTAAATGTAAAATTGTAATTTTAATTACCAAGAAGTTAATAGGGACAAATTGAGGTCATGCAATCATACAATTGTAACACTCTGTACGGTGTCAATGCAGCAGTGATGAAGTGTTCACCTTTTTGGATGAAGTAATATTGCTAAGCCTATATCGTTTGCAAAGCTTCCTGATAGAGTTCAACACTTCCTCTGTCTTTAAAGAGTATACAATAGGGTTGAGCAAAGCTGGTATGGTATGTGTCAAAGAGGAGTTTATGATCCTTGCATTAGGATGGATGTAGGAGGCCACTGCAGCTATGTTGGTGCCCACAACTGGCAGAAAGAAAATAGCCACAAGGATCAGGTGAGAAGTACAAGTTTTCATTGCTTTGAGTCGTTCCTCTGTTGATGCAATCCTGCTCAGTGCTATGGAAATGCAAACATATGTGATTGCTATCAATATAAGTGGACAACAGAGTACTATAATAAAAGCAACATATGCCATTATGTTATTCAAAGACGAGTCATTACAGGCCAGACGATATACCGGTGCATGATCACAGAAAAAGCTTTTTACCACCACAGATCCACAGAAGGAAAGGCGATCAATAATTCCAACTATAAATGCTACTAGACTTGATAAAAAAATCCATGTGAATAACAGCATTGCAGCAATAGCTGGTTTCGTTACAATACTATGGTACCTTAAAGGGAAGCAAATTGCTATGAATCTGTCATATGCCATAGTGACAAGTGTCCATGACTGCACACTTGCAAGGAGCAAAACAAAGAACATGTAACTTAAGCAAGCCTCATAAATAATATATCTCCTGTCAAACAAAAATGTGTCTAAGAGTTTTGGGATGAGAGCAGTGCTGCCACACAAATCTGTAAAAGCCAGGTTGAACACAATCATGTATTTAGGCGTATGAAGAGTCTTGACCATGTAGATAACTGAGAGGAGTAGGCCATTCCCAAGAACAGTCATGATAAAGACAAAACACAGAAAGACATAGTAATAAGTAACATGAGGGATGTTGGAAAAACCGCTGAGATAGAAATTTGCAGGACGAACGAATGTGGCATTGAATACGATAGCAGCTTTCTCTTCCAGGCCCATTATGAATTCTGTTTCCCTAAATGTGAAAGAGAAAATAACAGAATATATATATATATATATCATATATATATATATATATATATATATATATATTCTGTTATTTTCTCTTATATATATATATATATATATATAATAAAGTACAACACTGTTGCTTGATAGGAATTGCTGTAACCAAACTCACCTCAGATAACATCAAGTATGCAGTGAACCACAGTGAGTTCTGTGAGAGAACTGTCGTCTACCTTTTATCCCTTTGATGTTTGGATAGAAGAAACGCCGGTGGCTGCGTAACATTCCCGCTAATTAGACACTAATTTACTTCAGTGTGTAGTTTATGTCATTGATGTGCAGATGCAATCAACTAAGTTAACTACTAACAACAGGATACTGAATTATCCGCTAACTGGAAAAAATTATACTACCCACCACAAATTATAAAATAAATAAATAGTGATTTACAAAAAAACATTATAAATCAAACCACCATAAAATCCTAGGTGCTATGGCTTCATCAAAAGTGCATTTATACTGAAGGCTCTAACAGAAAGTCTGATGAAATTCTGAAAATCTTTAAAAATTGGGATGAATTTTCACAGTGGATTTTGTTTTTTGTTTTATTTAGGAATGTACAATTGGGTATGTAAGAGAGACTCAACAAGCCTAGGTCAAAACCTAGTATATGGCTGGACCGTGTATGGTCAATGTGCAAAATTGAGGACATAGTTGGAAATTGTTGTGGAGCTGCTCTAAACAACTACTCTGAATGGAAAGTAGCTAAAGCCTGATCAAAAATTTTCAATAATTCAAATTTCCATATCCTCCCTAGTCAGTTTACCATTGCAAGGGAGTTACGTACAGCTACATATTCCAGTGTTTCCTCTACATTCATTTAGCAGTGGTGGCCGCCAATGCTAAATCATAGCCGCCACGCCTTCAAATTTCTTTTTTTTTTATTGTCGCAAATGCACCACCGCCACATCTCTCCACCTTCACAGCACAGCCTGTGTGATGATGAGCGCAAAAGCGGGGGGAGGGGAGGAGAGGGGAGGGAGGGAGTGGGGTGGTTGGGGGATCCTATTGGAGTTAATTACTTGCGAGAGCGCGGCCTTGAAAGTGACATCACGTCAGGCACCAGGTCAGAGTCAGAGAAGTGTAGTCGTGAGGAATAAGGCAGCGAACTACCGGAGAAAAGGTAGACTTATTAGCCAACTCAGTGACGCTAACTTGGGTAAACTAATTGATAGCATTAAGCTAATATCTACACGTCATTATGTATTAACTGCTGACTGCATTTTCAGATGAGCTTGTTCAGATACTTCTCTAAGAAGAGAAAGACAACAGATGAAGAAGACGCTAGTCAGGTAGCCTATCATAAGCCTTTTACTGACTCGTAAATGATGATGGTTAGGTAAAAAATAATATTTTAATGTTCACACTTGTAATCAGATGTGATGTGAGTGTAAACTATATAACGCTGAAAATCAAGTGCTCTGAGCCTGGGTGCAAACTTTGCCCCCCCCCCCGGAGAGCATGCCCCCCACTGCTGAAAAAAATCCTAGAGGAAACACTGTATTCCTTTCACCACCAGGGTGTGTGAAGTTGAAAATCACACTGTGGTACATATTTCTTATTTACCTTGGTTACACTAGATTTACTATACAAATTGGAAAAGGAATAATTGATCAACTCATAAAGTTTAGGGGAAAAAAATCACTTTAGTCCTTTTTGTTAGCAGTGAATTTATCAATAGCTTATACTGCAGCATGTTTTATATATGTACTGCAGTTTACGGTAAAAAATCTGCAAATATAGATCCTGTGAAAAAAGTGTAAATAAACAGTAATACACTGCTAATCCTTGATGAGTATTATACTGTAAAGGTAGAAATTAACAGCTTTTTGCTGTATTAAAAAAAACTGTGTTTTGAACTCCTTCACATAGGTTGATCTGTCTTAACATAATTCATTCTGAAATAAAAAATTGTACAATGTAATTTTATATACATAGATTTACACTCTGTTTTACTGTGCTGATGTAAAGAAAGAAGAGTCAGTATATTACCTATTGTCTACATAGATAGATAGATAGATAGATAGATAGATAGATAGATAGATAGATAGATAGATAGATAGATAGAAAAGGTCTTTTGTAGTCTTACAAATATCGAAACACAAAACATGTTTTTTAATCTAGACACTAGACAACACTAGTTATCAGTACATATAGTGTCTTGAGATAGAGAATATTTAACATTCAATACTAGTATCATCACAGTGATATAGATGACCAAACAAGGAAAGGAAAAAAAAGAAACAGACCATTGTAAGATGTGAAAATAAAAGTAAAGCAGATGTTAAGGATAAAGTCCATCATCATGACAAATTACTCCTGGTCACAATAATTCAGTGTGCTCATACATCATAAGAAAATCATCTTTCTGCTTGTAGTTCATTGTGTATATTGTAGTATAGCTGATTAATTTCAACTATATTTGTTCTTTAAAATCATTAATTCAATGCAAAAATCAATGCAATTAGAAAATGACGAAGAACGTAATTCATATGACTTCTGTTTGTATGATGCTGATGCAAAATTTATAATTACTGTTGATAAATCTACTTTATATTTACAATAGACGTAACCATACAGGACAAAAGTCGAAGGCTAAATATGTTTTGTTGCAATTATGGATTGTCCTTTGGCCATTTTAAACAACTTTTTCAAAGATTCTTTGATTTCTTGTGTCTGAAAAACATAAATGATTGGGTTTAACATGGGAGGGATGACAGCACTCAGAGACAGGTTTATGATCCTGGCATTTGGATGTATTGTTCCCCAAAAGAAATATACAAATATGACAGGGAGGAAATAGATTGCCACTAATGACAGATGACCTGTGCAGGTTTTAAAGGCCTTCACTCTTTCCTGAACTGTGGACATTTTTGACAGAGCATAGGCAATATAGCAGTAACTTACCAAGATAAATAGTAGTGGAAACCAAAGAATAAGAATTGGTGACAAATTAGAAATTACACGATTGGGTGTAATATCATTGCAGCCAAGCCGGTATATTGGGCCATGGTCACAGTAATAGCTGTTAATAACCACAGAATTACAGAAAGAAAGTCTTGTAAGAAGGCCAACTGCAATGAGTGTAATAGTCATGGCAAAGAGCCACAAAGAGGCAATCAAAGAAAACATGAACCTGTGAGTCACCTTCACTTGATAGTGCAGTGGAAAGATGATGGCCACCAGTCTGTCATAGGCAAGTGCAACCAAATTAAGAGCCTGCATCGAAAAGCAGGTGAAGCAGAAAAACATGAATGTCAAGCAGTCGTTGTAGGGGATGTGGTGGTGGTTAAACAGAAAGATGTCAAGAACCTTCGGCACCAGAGCAGAGCTACCAAACAGGTCCACAAATGCTAAGTTAAAGACTGCAATATATTTTGGAGTTCTCAGATTATGATCCAAAACTATTACAGTCATCACAATTGTATTTCCCAGAACTGAAACAAGGTAAATAATAAAGAGAAAAACATAGTAATACTTGATATTAGGTACGCCAATAAAACCCCTTATTAAAAAATGTGCAGGACGCACAAAAGTGATGTTTTTCCCAAGAGCTGAGTTAAAAAACTCCATTTGAAGACTTTCTGCCAATCTTTCACTAGTTGCAGAACAGTTCGTGTAGAGATCAGTTGCCTCTGTGTTTCACTTAGAGTGGTGGTTCTCTTATGTAGACAGAGGCAAGCTCCTCACCCTCTCTCTCTTTCTGACAGAGCTATGTCAAGCTTCAACAGTAGTAAGAGAAGCAGTACTCTTCTGTGTTTCTGTCAGTTATAGCAAACTGCCTGTTCCCTTGTGTTTACAGTCTCTTTGGGTACATGCTGGGTTGCCAGGTCTGTATGAAAAAAACAGCACAATGACCAGTCAAAACCAGCCCACACACCAGCCCAATCCCAGAACTCAAAATATGCCTCTGCCAAACCATATACACTGCTGAAGCCCAGCAACATTGCCATCATTGTCAAATGTCTTGTAATATCTACAAAGTTTATCATTAAAAACAATTCTTTCACCCAGGTCTTCAAAATAGCCTTTTGTAATTAGGTATTATTGATGAGATATTATAAATAAAATATAGCTGTGGTGACTCTGACTATCAATGCATTCTCACAGCTTTGAGTTGTCAGCTACCAGTATAGCATTTTGTTTGACTTGTATTGGATGTGGCCAGTGCACCAGCACGAGATGCTCCTGTATGCACAGCAGTAATACACATCACTATCAGTCTACACTATATGGTTTTCAGTAGGGGTAGGCATGATTAATCGATAATCTGATCGATCTAACGTGTGTATCAACGAGGTTGTGTTGTGCAGTGTGTCTTGAAGCAATGCAATGAATTTCACTACATGGGAGCAACCAGCCAGGGCGCAATTTAAATTGTCAACAGAGAAGAACCATAGGCGTCGCAGGAAACATGAAGAGAGCAAGGCGAAATGTGGTGTGGTAACATTTTGAGCTAAAAAAATAACGAAGCTCATTGTTAACATTGCAATGCCGTGAATAAGCGCAGTAGTTTTGGCTTGTTATTTGTGAAGAGGTTTGGCTCAGAGCCTCAGGCTCCGCTGCCATTAGGAGCACCGCATATCTTTTTTGATATGTTTAATAGTTAAACAATTAAACTTTAACTGCCTTGTCTAAGAGGATTGTTGTTGGACTATATCTTCTTCTTGGAATAAAGATTTCATTGAGGAAAAAGATGCTTTCTTTAGTATATTCTGCCATAGGCATTTTTTTATATAAAAAATTAATAATGAATCGATAATTGATCGTTAATTTTCCTGATGATTGAATAAGGAAATTTCTTCAAGTGCCCATCCCTAGTTTTCAGACCATGGGTCAGACAGCAACCCCCATATCTCCAAACCCCATGACAACAAGGGTCAGCAACTACAGTTCCTCTTCCAAATGTCAATGTATGTTCCACAGTCTGCTGTCTTACATCCAGTAGGTGCATGCAGCATTTTTCTGTAAATTCATTATGTGATGTTGTGCAAACTAGTTAAAGAAAAACCAGTTAGGAAACAATAAAAGCGTTTGTTTAAAAGTTACAATCAAATAAGGTTTGACACAGTGAAAATCCTCAGAATTTTCAGTATTAAAATGAACCCTGCTTAAGAGCAGAAAATTCTCAAGAATCTCTTACTGTAGAGGTAAGTGATATACAGAGTGATAACTACGCACACTCAAGAGCACTCTTACACACAAGTGCTGACATGTTTGAGCAAAATAAGTGGTTATTGCGTTTTCTTCTGTTCTACAGTTTGTATTATACATTACATTATATTATTTAAATTATGAAAATATTTTTGTCACTTATAATATTTTTTTAATAACTTTTGTTATTTTACGAAGCATTATGGTCTTTTAAAATAAATGAACACTGAATTAACACTGAACCACTTGTTTGCAGCTCACTTCCTGTAACTCCACTTCAGAATTACTAAAGTTCCTTTTGCGTTTTGATTCTGGTGTTCCATCTTAAGATTTTCATTTTGTCATTTTCTCAACTTTCCCTTATGGTATCCCTTTGTGACTTCTGTTTGCGTCTGCACATGACCCTTCAGTCTCATGCCCTTTTATGGGCATTTTCGGGTGTTTACCTATGCTAATTAGGGGCAACTGACACACGCTTTCAATTTACAATTGATGATTGGCATTCATCCATCTAAGAACACAGGTGCGCACAATTCTGCGGTTTAAGAACACATTCATGAATCTGACGTAGCGTTTTCTTAAGAAAAATTTAAAAAAGAATTTAAGAAAATACTGAAGGAGATATTGTTGAATGAGGACCATTGACAGGAGCAAGAAGTTCATATAAATAATGACTATTTTTATTTTAACAAATAAAATCAATACAAATTTATTGTCTAGATGTAAAGAGGACGCTCTATCATGACAATTTCATTGCAATGAAAGATTTCTTTCATCATTGACTTCAGACATACAGTACAAACACTAGTATATAGACTTAATATGGAGAGGCAAAAACTATGACTTAAAATTAACACAAAATAAAATTCCAGATACACAGTAGACTGGATAGTTCAAGGTAAAGTGTAGACACATCGTTGTTTGATCACAACAACTTGTTTGCACAATTGTTGATTTGAAACAATAAAAAGATGCATCTTTAAGGTATTTCTCACAAAATGTTACTCTGTAGAGAATGATTTTAGTTTACGCTGCTTTTTATTCTATAAATCTCTCAAATGAAAAAGAACAAATCAGAAATTCTGCTTTTAAAAAAAAATGCTAACAAATAAGGACAAAAACAAGTAAATAAATGCATTCACTTTATATATGTATATATTCATTCATCTGTCTCTGTTTAGTTTTGAAAACTTCCTAGAGGACAGACATAGTATGGTGGAAACGATCCTACCTCAGTGGGCTCAGTTTGTAGTTATTTTTGTTTGTTATCTTTAAAAATGGTTGTTTGATTTCAATACTAACTAAAAAAAGAAAAAAAAAAGAAAAAGCTACTTGATTTCCAGCTTTGTCATGATAAGGAAATCATTGTTGAATGAATTCACATTATGTTTACATTGGGGTTATTTTTTTCATTGTTATTTTGGATTTCCCTCTGATTTTTAATAACCTTTTCAAAGATTCTTTGATTTCTTGTGTCTGCAGAACATAAATAATTGGATTCAACATGGGAGGGAAGACAGAGGTCAGAGACAGGTTTATGATCCTGGCATTTGGATGTATTTTTTCCATCAAGGTAAAGGTGATTAACAGTGGGATGAAATAGATTGCCACCAATGAAAGATGACCTATGCAGGTTTTAAAGGCCTTCAGTCCCTGTTGAAATGTGGCCACTTTAGCCAAAGTACAGCCAATATAAAGGTAACTTACCAAGATAAAAACAAGTGGAAGCCAGAAAAGAAGAAGTGGGTATAAACAACTAAGGACATAATTAGGGAAATGGTCATTGCATGAAAGCCGGTATATCTGACCATGGTCACAGAAATAGCTGTTAACAACCACAGACTCACAGATGGAAAGTCTTGTAATAAGGCCAACTGCAATCAGTACAGCAATTATAACAAAGACCCAGAAAGAGGCAACCAAAGACAGCATTAATCTGTGAGTCACTTTAACTTGATAGTGCAGTGGAAAAATTATGGCCACCAGTCTGTCATAGGACAGTGCAACCAAATTAAATGACTGCATTGAAAGGCAGGTGTAACAGAAAAAAAGGTACGTCAAGCAGTCGTTGTAGGGGATGCGGTGGTGATTAAACAGGAAGACATCAAGAACCTTTGGCACCAGAGCTGAGTTACCAAACAAGTCCACAAATGCTAAATTAAAGACTGCAACATATTTTGGAGTTCTCAGATTATGATCCAAGTATATTACGGCCATCACAGCTGTGTTTCCAAGCACTGAAACAATATAAACAAAAAAGAGAAAGAGGTAGTAATGTTTTATATTTGGAATGCCAGATAACCCACTTATTATGAAATATTCCGGATGGACAAAAGTGATATTTTTCCCAAGAGCTGAGTTGAATAAGTCCATTGTAAAAACTGTCCAAAGTGCAGTGACTTATGAAGAGAAGTGTTTTCGTCTGTGTCAGCACGGTGTTGTCCTACGTAGACGGAGCTGAGCTCTTCTCTCTCTTTCTGGTGACAGAGCTCTACCAAGTTTGAACTGTTTTGACAGCAGGCTACCAAAGAAGCAGCCGTCTGCCTTTTTGTCAAATAAGTTGAATGTTCCCCTGTGTCTCTTGTCTCTAAGCCAATAAGCTTCAGACAAGCCCATTTCAGTCTATCTTACTGACTGCAATCATGTTATTTACTTATCTCAAGTCTATGTTGCACCTTTATTTTTTTTTTGATAATTACAGTTGTATTTCTGACCTTTCAATAATTTTCTATTTAAAACAGCTTTAATCAATATTTTTACAACAATAAGATTCAGCTTTATAGATTCAACTCTTATAGATTTAACTCATTGTTAAATTGTCTGGCTGCAACAAGTCATTGTAAGGGATTTAGTGATGGTTACATACAAAGATGGCAATAACCTTGAGCACTAAAGCAGAGTTATCAAACAGGTCCAAAAATGCTAGTTTAAAAACTACAATAATTCTCAGATAATGATCCAAACATGGTATAGCCATCACAACTGTGTTTCTCAGCAGTGAAACAATGCACATAAAAAAGAAAATGATATAGTAAATTTTTGTCAAGCTTATACTGCCCTCAGGAGTTGGTAGAGTTCAAAAACAGAGTTAAAATAGAGAGAATATTTGATTTACACCTGACCAGAGTACCCAGAGAAAAAACTCCAAATGAATAATAATGCTTCTCCGTAACTGTTGGATGTGGAAATAAACAACTCTTTAACAAGTTTGCCATATCAGTATAAAGACGTTGATATGCTTATGCTTATTGAATTAGATTGATTTGTGTTACCTATTGGTATTCACTCCACAACAAAATCTTTTATAGTTGGACCATTTGTGTGATGTTACAAAATAAATCTAGTGTTTACAATTAATCTTTTATTGTAATAGAAATTATGCCTAATACAAAATGACCAAAACACCAAACTTTATGTTTACATTTACTCATTTGACAGACGCTTTTATTCAAAGTGATTTACAAGTGAGGGACAACACTAAAGCTTCAGTGCAGTAGGAGACCTTGGTGTAACTACTAAGTACCTATTCAGTGTTTAGTACCTAAGTATCTGTTCAGTAAGCGCAAGGAGATCAGGTAAAGAAGTGCACTGAAAGTGCACACTCACTATATGTTTACTTCTTTGTCGTAATTTTGGACTACACTCTGATTCTAAATAATTTTTTTACTGATTTTTTGATTTCTTGTGTCTGCAGAACATAAATAATTGGGTTCAACATGGGAGGAAAGACAGAGGTGAGGGACAGGTTTATGATCCTGGCATTTGGATGTATTTTTTCCATATAGGTAAATGTGATTAATACTGGGAGGAAATAGATTGCAACTAATGAAAGATGAGCTGTGCAGGTTTTAAAGGCCTTCACTCTCTCCTGAGATGTGGCCACTTTACTCAAAGAATAGCCAATATATAGGTAAGTACACAAGATGAATGCTAGTGGAAGCCAAAGAATAAGCACTGGTAATAAAACACCAATGACCAAACTGGGTGGATAGTCATTGCAGGCCAGCCGGTATATTTGGCCATGGTCACAGAAATAGCTGTTAATGATCACAGATTTACAATAGGAAAGTTGTGTGAGAAGGCAAACTGCAATAAGTGTAACAGTAATGACAAAGAGCCAGAAAGAGGCAATCAAAGAAAACATGAATCTGTGAGTCACCTTCACATGATAGTGCAGTGGAAATATGATGGCTACCAGTCTGTCATAGGCAAGTGCAACCAGGTTAAGAGCCTGCATTGAGAGGCAGGTGTAGCAGAAAAACATGAACGTAAAGCAGTTGTTGAAGGGGATGTGGTGGTGATTAAACAGAAAGATGTCAAGAACCTTCGGCACCACAGCAGAGCTACCAAACAGGTCAGCAAATGCTAAGTTAAAGACTGCAATATATTTTGGAGTTCTCAGATTATGATCCAAGCATATAACAGACATCACAGCTGTATTTCCCAGAACTGAAACAATATAAACAAAAAGGAGAAAGACATAGTAATACTTAATGTTAGGTATGCCAATAAATCCACTTATTATGAAATATGCAGGACGCACAAATGTGATGTTCTTCCCAAGTGCTGAGCTGAAGAAGTTCATTGTAAAACTTGTCAAGCTTTTCCTGTCCACATGCAGAGATTAGTGTAGACAAACGTCCCCTTCCCCGTGTCAGTGCTGTGTCCTGTTCTCTTTGTGATTATGAAGCTCTGCCAAGCTTTACCTAACAGGAGGAGCTAATAAGAGGATCAGTCCTCTTGAGTTCATGTCAATAAGGCCAATCTTTGACCCCTGTGTCTATTGTATGTAAGCCATACAGCATCAAACAAATCCCAATAAACTCACTGCACTCATTAAAACTACTTATCTTAGATACAGATTTCCGATGAAAGCCTATGGAGTATTTAGAGTATATAACACAGTTTTGTATGCAGTGGCAAGAAAGTAAAGTCACTCCACAACAAAACCCTTTATCATTGGACTGGCCATCGAGCATACCACCACGTTTGGTTGCGTGCTCTGAGACTGGGTTCATTTCACCCCAAAATGATTTTCTAGAGAACGATTTGTAGAGAATATTTTAGAAATACAAAATCAAGCCTGTTTAAATGCATTTAATTTTACATCAAAACGCATGACAATGAATACAAAATAAACTTCTACATACACAATTACTTCTTTGTCGTAATTTTGGACTGCACTCTGATTGAAATCTTTTTTTTTTTTTTTTTTACAAATTCCAAAGCCAAAGAATAAGCACTGTTAACAAAAGAGCAATGACAAAACTATGTGTATTGTCATTGCAGGCCAGCCGGTGTATTTGGCCACTGTCACAGAAATAGCGGTTAATGATCACAGATTTACAATAGGAAAGTCTCGTAAGAAGGCCAACTGCAATAAGTGTAACAGTAATGACAAAGAGCCAGAAAAGAGGCAATCAAAGAAAACATGAATCATGAAAAATCATCTTCTTTGTATGTCTTAAATTTTGCATCAAACAATGAAAACACTATAAATATTCTGATATATAGTACACTCCAAGACAACATATGCAGAGACACAACCTGTTTGTTCACAAGAAATGATTTTCAGTATATACTTAGTCATCACACATGTACACAAGTACATATTACTGTTACTTGATTTCAAGATTAATTATTAATTATTATTATCATTAATAATAATTCATAATTATAACAATATTTGTGGACTATTTATTATATATTAGTGTCTGTTATTTAGCATAACTGGTGCTATATTAATTTTACTCCACTAAATTTAAGTGTAATGTACATAAGATCCTAAACAGAGAGCCCAAAATGTACAGTAATATGGTCATTTTATCATTACCTTCTTCACTGTGATTTTGGATTTCTTTCTGATTTTTAATAATGTTTTCACTGATACTTTGATTTCTTGTGTCTGCAGAACATAAATAATTGGGTTCAACATGGGAGGAAAGACAGAGGTGAGAGACAGGTTTATGATCCTGGCATTTGGATGTATCTTTGCACTCATGATAAATGTGATTAATATTGGGAGGAAATAGATTATCACTAATGAAAGATGAGCTGTGCAGGTTTTAAAGGCCTTCACTCTTTCCTGAAATGTGGCCACTTTAGACAATGCATAGCCAATACATGAATAACTTACCAAGATAAATACCAGTGGAAACCAAAGAATAAGAATTGGCAACAAACGACCAATGACAATGTTGGGAGTTTTGTCATTACAGGCCAGCTTGTATATCTGGCCATGGTCACAGAAATAGCTGTTAACAACCACAGACTGACAGTACGAAAGTCTTGTGAGGAGGCAAACTGCAATAAGTGTAACAGTAATGACAAAGAGCCAGAAAGTGGCAATCAAAGAAAACATGAACCTGTGAGTCACCTTCACTTGATAGTGCAGTGGAAAGATGATGGCCACCAGTCTGTCATAGGCAAGTGCAACCAAATTAAGAGCCTGCATTGAGAGGCAGGTGTAGCAGAAAAACATGAATGTCAAGCAATCGTTGTAGATGATGTGGTGGTGATTAAACAGAAAGATGTCAAGAACCTTAGGCACCAGAGCAGAGCTGCCAAACAGGTCAGCAAATGCTAAGTTAAAGACTGCAATATATTTTGGAGTTCTTAGATTATGATCCAAAATTATAACAGCCATCACAGCTGTATTTCCCAGAACTGAAACTAAATAAACAAAACAGAGAAAGATATAGTAATACTTCATATTAGGTATTCCAATAAATCCACTTATTATGAAATATGCAGGACGCACAAATGTGATGTTCTTTCCGAGGGCTGAGTTGAATAAGTCCATTGTGAAATTTTTGTCAAGGCTTCACTGTCCAATGCACAAGGGTTGATATAGAGTCAGCACTGTCTTGTGCTGTTATGTAGACAGAGGTGAGCTTGCCTCTCTCTTGCTCTCTTTTGATAATGAAGCTCTGATGAGCTTTAACTGCTTTTCAGTCCTCCTCTGTTTATATCAGATTAAGTTAAGCGTCTGATCCCTTGAGTTTATTGTATGTAAGCATCAGAAACAAAAACATTCTGAATCATGTTAAACTATTGCAATATGCAATTTACTCATAGGATTCTGCAATACAGCTTTTATTGAAAGCCTATAGCCCATCTATTTTGATATAGTTTTTATTGTATTTCAGTGGGTGACCTTTCAGTTGACTTCCTGTTTTGAATGTATTTGTTTTCTATATAGGTATTTTGAGAGGATAAAATGAATACCATGAATAAATATAGCTAAGGGAAACAAAAGGCCTTGAAATTAAGGTAACAATCTCGTATTTTGAGGGATCTAATAAGTTGACTAAGAGATTGCCAGCCATAACAGCCAAATATGTATTACTTACTTTGACTTACTTTGATTGTTCTGTATTTTTGTTATTGTCAACGAATCCCCAAAAAAATCTAAACCAACAAGACAATTGTCTCTCTCCCATTACCCTCTAGAAGTAATACCTAATACGAGATTATTTTTTGCCATGCACAGCTGTTGTCTTTGGTCTTTGGTATTCGGCCTATTTGGTATTTTGGTATTTGGTCTTTGGTATTCGGCCTGCGGCCTTATGACTGAATCACAGCCATGCTAATATTCAGTGTAACATCACTCTCTTGTGTGATATTGCTTAAATAGAATCGAATAAAGTTCCTGCTGGATTCATCAGCTTGAGTTACCTTCACACTGTACAGAGTAAATGCAAAGTGTAATAATCATAAAGATGAAAATAATAATGAAATGAGCTGTGTGAAGAATTGGCAATGGTGGGAGAGAATATGTTATGGCTATACACTATGGCTATACAGCTAATGATACTACGTCTACTATTGAGATTTGATGATAAAATATTGCTATATTTCGACATCAACCCAGTCATGAGCAGAAGAAGAAGACCGGCCTACTGAGTTGTGCTGTAGCTGGAGACCCTTGGCTGGAAAACAGGTGACTATGGTTGCCATGGTAACCCTGGAGACACGGGATCTAGATGGATTCTCCTGGAGGCCATGTCCCGTTATCACGGTGACGGATTCTGCCGGGATCTCAGTGTTTCAGCTCTGGTGGTGTGCGGAGATTGGTGTGTGTGCATGGCACAGGGAGGCCAGGATTCTCACCTTGGTTATAATCAGTCCTTTTGGTGTTACTATTCCTATATAAGAAACAATCAAATATCAAATATAGGCAGAGTCTTATTGTTACAAACTGGAGATTTTGCTTATGCTCTGCAGTTTGCCTGGTGTCCATTTGTTGATCCTCTGGAGCTGGTCCTTTGACCTATGGTCTGGTTGAGTGTCTCTGTGACTAAAAGCATGGTCTGTTTGTCAGAGAAAAGAAAATTCTATCAATTTGATATTTTGATGGTGGGAAGAGTAATAAAGTGTCAATTTTGGGTCCATAACTCTGCATGTAATTACAATGAACTTCTTTAATGGCTTGTGACTGATGCCAGGCCACGTATACACGCTACACTGTTAATGGATCTAATCTGCTTTTTACATTATAAATACTGAATGTTCAATAAATTCAGAAGGAACAATCTTTTTTTGTCGCTTTGTACTTCAGGCTTCTTCTGACTACTTCTCTCTGTTTGCTTTTTGCTGTCCTCTTGAGTAAGAAGTTCACAACCGAACTATACTTTAGTCCCTCGTTGAAAGCTGAAACAAGTCTCCCTAATGAGGCTGTTAATGAGTTGTTTGTCGACACTGCTTTTGCAGGATGATGACACATCCAGAACAGTTAGGTATGACTTTGTCCCAGACTGCAGGGGACAGTCAAGAGAGAGTGGTGGGGTTATGTTAGGTAAGGTGGAAGACATTGCCTCATGAAGTTAGTTGAGCTACTGTATTACTTATTTGTGAAACTAATCTGAATCATCAAAGGAAAACTCTTTTCAGCAATGGAGCGAATTAGTAAAGAAACTATATTCTATTTCCCAGGTGTCAACAACTCAGCTGAATTCTGACCATCAACCATACAGTCTATGCCATGAACTGGAATTGTGCATTATGGGTAAAGTAGGGATTCACATAAGAATTCAATTCTCATATTCTACAATTCTCAATCAATTCACAAATACCAAACATCACTTTTCGTAATAACTATAGTTAATAATGTTATATTGACAGAACTGAAGAGGTGGAACTCAACTGCACAGGCAAAGTGCAGCACCAATATTATGTGAATACTTCACTTGCCATCACCTCATCTTAGCTGAGCACCGAGCTCCAGCACTAACAAACAAGACTGACTGGCCGACACACATTGCACTATTTTACAAAACTTCAACCAAGTCTCAACCAACTCCTAACAGCAATTACACTCTTGTTTCAGTCTTCTCATACAAGATGCTTCCAAATTGATGCAGCTATTTTTTTTTATCAAAAATTGCATTTCAGTGTCCTAAAGACACAAGTACACTAAAGTAAGAGCCTAAAAATTGTGCCACCCTTTGTTTAGTCAATCATTGATGAAGGGTAGTTTAATGAAAGTTATGCAAGGAGAGAAAGGTTACATATCCACATTCCCTTGCAAGATCTTCCCAGCTGGTCAGGAATTTCAGACCAGCAATGCTGTACTCACAAGCCCACTTTTCTCATTTCCAAGCCTCTCAAATGTATTGACACCTGAAAGGAATGGTTTATGATTTGGGGAAATAAACTTATTTGACTTCCTAAACAATAAACAGTTTCAGCATGTAACACCCTGTAAAACCACAAATTGATGCTTTTACATTTTGTTTTTTGTCCAGATAACACACACGAGAGCGGCATCGAACTATAAGCACAAGTTCCAAAATGTTGAACTATTCCTTTAAGTAAAGTCCACATGCCTAAAGAGATATGTGTGCGTCGTAAGAATGGCTATGATAAGGCAACAAATTAAATTTGAAATTAAATTTCTGTCTTACTGTGTGGCCCTGCTTAGTTATCATACAACTTCAGGATTGCAACTTTACTTGGACTATGTTTCCAACTTCATGTCAAGATGCTCAACAATAGGTCTCATTAAATTACTAATTAACTAGCAGAGCATTTTAAGTCTGTTTTGCTTTACACATGACTGAAAAATATTAACTAATTTAATTTGGAGGTATAGAATTATTTTTGTTTGTCTCAAATTTTTTTTGCTAAATTCTAAATAATTATAATTTTGGTGGATCAATAAATCATGAGTGACATGAAGTGGAAAAAATAAATACATTTCTCAAATGTATTTTATTTCAACTCCAAAATAAGTACTTTTCTGTGGATGCGCCAATGATCCTTTAACCATTTAAAAATGAAAACTGGATATAAAAAGCTGACATAATATTGTTATATGCTATAAAACTGCACTATGTTAGGCCAGGTGAAAGCACGACCGAGATGAACTAAACCCAACTCCTGCTTGGTAAATTCCTGAGATACATACATTCATATGTCTTATTAATTTAATTTGCTGTTACTAAAACAGTATCAGAACCTGCTCAAGAGATTATTGAAGCTCTAGGGACACAATACATCTAAACTCAAACTATTACATGGAATTTTATCTGTAGGGATATTAAGGGCCAAATGGCCAAATTAATGAAATTAGCTCCCTAGGTATATTGCAGGTGTTAAGATTCTCCCACAGAGGGATATCTCTCAAAATAAATAACAATGAGGAAAGAAATGACAGGATCAACTGCCTCAGGCCTGTGGGGAACAGTTCATTGTACTTCTCTATGTTTTACACAAAAAAGCCTCTTGAGGGAATCAAGCACCTGTTAATTTGACAACATTACGTTTTACATGATGCCCAAGAGACCTGCAACAACACAGTTTCTAACATACACAGGGCCTCAAAATTATTTCATTCTTTATCAACATATCTTTCAGTTTATTTGTCCAAAAAATCAACTGGTTGTTTCTAGGGCTGCAAGATATGCGTAAAAAAAAAAAAAAAATCAATATTTCAATTATTTTGGCAGATATTGCGCCTAAGATATGTGATTGCAATTATGGTGCAAAAAAAGCACAATAATGTTGTGACAAGTTTAACCCTTATCAAAAAGGTGTCAAAAAAATTGCATCTCCTGCAATTTTTTTCAGCTCCTGCAATTTGGATATTGCACTTGGCCATATTGCAATTTCGATTATATTTCGATTAATTGTGCAGCCCTAATTGTTTCTTTTACAAGATGTCAGAAAACAACTGATTAATTTCTTAAATTGATAAGGTAAAGGAAAGTTGCAAAGCCACACTCCTCAAAGCAGCAGCAGTAATAGTAGCAGCAGTAGTGGTAGTGGTATTAACAGTACAAGAAGTAGAGGTATTAAATGTTGTTAGCACATTACATTTCCTTGAGATGCAATCGCCATCCCTAGACTTAAAATTGCATGAATACTTTCACAAGTAAAGACAGCCTAAAATGATCATTGTGGATTAAAGAGTTTACATCACCTTACTTTCCTCAATTACACACAGGTCTGTCAACCCTCCTGCAGGCAGACCCAGGGGAATCCAACCACAATATCACTATACATCTGCCCTCAAGAGAGACGTGAGCTGTTTTTCTCCTCATAACAGGCTGTTTCCCGGAAGACAACAGTCTTGCTTAAACCTGTTATGACCAAACTGTCTAATTGGTCCTGAGAGGGTTTGTGTTTCCCCCACCCCTAACAGACCGGACACAAATATTTATCACATAGATGTTACAGCTTATTATTGTTGAAGTACTTTTGTTAAGGTAAGTCTTAGAGTTTTAACCATAGGGATTTTTCTCTGACATTTCTGGTCTTTGATTAAACTGTACATTAATTATTATCATGGTTCAGTCTGTTGAGCCATGATAGTGCAATACAGATAATAAACTTTAAAAATAAACTGAATTTGTCATAATTTGCACTTGCCATATTATGGCAGCTCTTGTCCTTTCGTGCAAGGGAATACTTCTGAAGGGTAATTAAATGGGTGGCATTGTGGCGCTGTGGTTAGCATTAACATGAAAGCCCTCCCTTCTTGGCAGAGGGCCACGGCAAAGGACATCAACTAACTTCAAAAAGCAAATTTAACTAAAAAGAAAGGTAATTATCGCCTGTTGGCAGGCTTGTGCCATCTGTGCATCTATAGTTCGTTCAAAGCAGTCTCATAACAGTCTTTAATAAATACCGGTAATAAAAAAGAAAAACTTTTGTGACTTTCAGAATAAACTGTTCAAGAGGCCAAAGGGGAAAGAGAGAAATTTAAGATTTGCCCACAGAAACAGAGGAAAAGCAACAGATACTTTTTTTTAACTAAAAAATAACAAAATAAATGACCCTCCTAAGAGCAAGTTCCTATCTTCACTCATCACTTATCAGACAAAAATAAAAGACTCAACTGGCCCACAGACGAGAAATCAGGGACACAGGCATCATCACTGCAGAACTTTCAGCATCTGTGCCCTAAAGCAGATTTCATTTCGAATTTTTAAAATCCCTTGTATGATCTGATGTGACTCTAAGATGTAGGTATGTTTATTTGTATTTTATGGTTAATCTATGTTCTCTGGTCCTCTACCAGAATTCACACTATACGTTTTAATTTGCCTTTTTTGCACACCCAAACATATAACTTCTGTGCTCACACTATACAGATCAATCGGCTGGTCACAATGTGGGTGCTCACAGAGGTTTGTCCTGTGACAATTCCAATAAAGTTTTATTCAAACAAACTATCATGCCCTCAAAAATGTTGACAAGGCAGAGCTACTGTAATCTCAGGGGAAAGAAAAATATGGAGCTGCAAATGGCTAAGAAGATTCAGACAATATGGTCTCTCTGATCTGCAGTAAAGTGTTTAATACTGAATATGACAGCACAGTCTCAGTCACGCCAAAACAGGTAAAATACTCCAAGCTCACTACAGTTTTTTGACAACAGCCCTATGGGACATCAGAACCCTGAAGTTCTCAAATTGCAAAACAGTCGACCGAAAATTTCTGACCTGCCAACAAATCATTCAGTTGCCCAGTAGCAAGGTTGTTGACCCCTGAGGGAACTAATCAGGCACCTCACCCCCTCTCAATCTGAACGTCAGACACCTCATTTGCCCGGCAGATGTCTGAAACATGCACATCTGCCCAGCATTACTGTGCTGAATATGGAGCAAATTTTTTACTTAATTTGTTGAATTAATTATTAATTTAGGAAACCAAACATTTGCTTTTCACCATGCTAAAAGTGAAAGGGATCTGATGCTTTTGCAAGATCCCCTTTATGTTGTCTCAAAGCTTAGAGGACAGTTTGGTAATTTGTGGAGTCTGTCTTGATTTTTTACTTACTGCTGATATGTGTTTCAGGAGGGTCTTAGGTCACAGTGATCGATCAACTTCTCCATTCTGGTCTTGCAAATTTAGCTCCCCAGCCAAGCCCACTGTAAGAAATGGGAACAAAATCTGTTTTCAATTTCAGCCAAAGACAATGTGATGGCAGTATGAGTGAGCCAGTTTAAATGAATATTATCCAAAGTTGCAGTTTTTACTATGAAATTCCTTGTTTGTGTTTTATGACCACAACACATCATGAATTCAATTAAAATTCCATATAATAACAGAGATGTTGGAGATCACAACTCTCCCTGACTGGACACTTGACAAAACAACTTAGCCTTTAATATCTTCAGTGTGTTGGTCTGACTCCTATAGGAATAATAATTAATGGTTAATGTTAAATAAATTACATCATGTATTCAGTTCACATTCATCAAAACCCCGCTATTACAAACTACCTTAAATCATGGGTCAAGGCAATATGAAAGATTATAAAATATTTTATTTCATTTAGTGATACAACTCAAAATGAATTTCATCACCAATTTATCTGGCAATTTTTCCTGTGTTTTTTATGCATTAGAATGGGTTATCATATATTATCATATATATAATATTATTACTATTATTATTATTATCAAAGATGATTACAGGGGTCAAAATATAATAATCTCAGACACTTGCTGTGGATACATATGTAGAAAAATGTTTTCCTGAACTGGTGATAAATGGTGATAAATGGATGAAAAAAGTCCACTGCCAGTTCCCAAAGCCAAGGGTAATGGTATCAAATTGTTTGTTGTGTCTTACAAACAGTCCAAAACCCAAACACATTCAATTGTACTATCATATAAGATGAAGAAAAGCAGTACATTTTCAAAACTGAGAAGCCAGAATGAGTGAATAATTTTTCTATCAATAGATTCGACTAACTGTTCTGCTCTAGTCACATTTCAAATAAAATCAGTATATATGTAATTTTTTTTTTTTCTTGTTTTAACTAAGTATAGGGGTCTTGCATATAGACCAGAGGCCATTTTACACAAAAATAGATTTTGACTTTGGCTTAGATCAAATTGATATTAGACTTCATATGGACATTTAAATTCATCCATGGCACAAAGCTGTCCAGTTCTTGACTATCTTAAATATGACTCATTTGCCATGAATTTTGAGTAAATTAAGAGTTTTGAGTCAAATTAAAAAAAAGAAGAAACAAACATGGCTGTCCACAAAAAACCAAACCACTCAGCTCTGTTCAGTCCAGCAGAAAATATTTGCCTTCCAGAAGAATCCCACTGTTACAGGACATTTTGTTTGGAAAACTAATTCAGCAAAGAGTGTAATAATACAAAAAAACCTCTAGAAGCATAAAATCTTAACACAGTGCAGACCTGTAGCACAGATGAGATGCTGTGGCTTCCTAATGTGGCAGGGCTCCATACTCAGGATAGTTTCCTTGGACAAATACATTTTTGTCGATTAACTATGTCATCACTGCTGTGGCCGTCTCAAAAATCTCTTCCTTTCTCATTCCTCACGTCACAACATCATTATCAAACTAGTTTATGAGCCAAGTTCTTGCCTTTTGGTCATTTGGTGCCAATGGTCAGCCGGTGTCATTGATTGTTACCCTGGAAACATGGCTATATCTTCTTACTTCTTAATTTGCTCTTACTTCTTAATAGCTAGCATGGTTGTAAGGTAACTAACATTTTACGTTTAAAATATGTCAGTCTTTATTTTTGTGAAACAATCTAACTTGTATTTACATTAATAGAAACAGATACAACTAAGGCTGAACCTAAGGCTAAGAAAAGCATTGATATCGAATTTTTGAGCATGCTTTGCTGGGTCTTAGTGTTAAAATATTATAGCAGTATTACTGGGATGCCTAACACCCTTTCACAACAATAAGTGGATCAATATTGTTATTTAATTTTCCCAATAATCTGCAAGTCATACGTTGTGAATAGGACGCTAGCTAGCTTCAGTGCTGTATGTTCGAATACAATGTTTGTGGTCCTCTTGAAGAACTTAAACATATATTAGTTTGAAAACACTTCAAATTAAGTAAAAACCTCACCTTTATGGCTTGAATGAGTATATTCTCCAACGTTGCTTCGTGAGGGGTATTTTTTTGTCCACCGTTATTGAATACTTCCTGTCCAGCGGTAGAAGTTGTTCTCTGACCGTTAACGTTACTAACCGTCATTTTAGTTCGGCCTGGCCATTTTCTGTGGCCCACATTGTTCATATCATGGTATTTCTTCTGCAGTAAAGACACCGCCTGGGGGAAGGAAACAAGACTAGGTCAAAACCTAGCAACTATATGGCTGAACACCATATGGTCAATGTGCGAAACTGAGGAAACAATTGAAAACAGTTGTGGAACTGCTGTAAACAACTTACATCATCCCTTCATATTTATGTTCTGGGTAGTGGTTTCAGGCCTTTATCAGTTTCCTACTCTCTGTGCTCACATATACAGTGATTTAATACGCTTGTTTTTACGCTATGTTTTTCTGTTTATGTTGTCAAGCATGTGACTGAAACGCGGCAAATGAAGATTATGTGTCAACTTCCTAAGCCATTTGCTCTGTCCTGCTAAAATCCTGATTATTTTATAACCGCGACATCATCTGACAAAATCACCTATCACATAATATAGAGACAAAGGTTGTGCTGTGATTTCGGTTTTATTTACTTGTAAAATTATCGTTCAGAGAGTGAGACTGGTGTAGTATAAAAAAGCTTCTGGGGGACAGCGCGCGGAACGTGTCCCATAGTGAGATACCGAGGAGTGTTGCAAGAGAACAGGACTTTAGTGTGGCTAGTTCATGCGGTTCATACCTACTTCTTCTTCTTCGTCTACTTCTCTGAGTTTACTGGCGGCAAACAACTTTAAGGTGCGCCACCTAATGTACAAGAGTGTGCAACATCATGTGTCATTTTACTCAAGCGCTTAAATTCTACCCAACAACCTAATATTATTTAAGAAAGTAAAGAGTGGCGGTTAATACTTCCCTGTAACCGTTTCAAATTAAAAGCCCTCTAGCGTTTCTTTAGACAGATAGTACAAATTTGAAGTGCATGTATTTGAGTATTTGTATTTTATGCCACTTTATACTTCTTCACTATATTTAAGATAGAATAAGATATATTGTACTTTTTACACCTACTACTTACTTTACAGATTAAGATTTTACATTAAAACATACAATAAACCCATCAAACATAATGCACTGCTAAAGATTAAACTGGCTCCAACGGTTTATGGCCTATGACCCCACTGTCACTATAAGCAGATATGTTTCACTCTGTTTCCCCACTAAATTTCTCAGACTGATTCTTTTTGGTTTTTCTTCTTTTTTCCCACTTTATCATTTCTCAACCCCTCGAATTTATCTTGTAAACTTTTGGAGGGGCCCAGCTCCTAGAGTGAGAACCACTGGGCTGCAGTTCACTGCCTAACAGTATATAAATTAGTTAAACCTAACTACACTTCGAACAGCTGCAGCCATGAATTGCTACTAACACACTGTTGCACCAGCATTAAAGATTAATCATGTAAGATATAATAATATATCAGCCTCAGGGGCCATTGTGACTACTTCTACGTTTGATTCTTAAACTACCGTTTGCTGATAATATTTCTTATATTTGATATTATATTTATTTCATATTATATTTCATATTATATTTTCTCCTCTCCGACTGTAAGTCTGCATATCTATGTGTATTTTCTGCTGCATTCAGTATCTAAATCCTGCTCTCCTGCTGTTTTTGTTGGTTTGTTTTTTTTAAGATCTATCCAAATCTACAGGAAACATTTCCATATTGTGCCATGGAAAAGTTAATTACACAACCAGTGTACTTTTTTTTTTTTTTTTGTTCCACTAGGACAGAGTGTAGTCAACATACTTCCTGCCTGTCACAAAGTCTTTATAAAACTGAGAGGCTGCTGCTTGCGTTCATCCTACTGTGAGGGCCATTCAGTGAGGTAAGCACTGATACATCTCAAAGTCTATGTTCCCTCTCAATCATGTGCTGTAACTGTACTGCTAATACTATCTGCTTGACTCTGCCTTCAGTATGTTTCAGGTGGATGAGAACTACACACGTGTGTCAGAGTTTGTTATTGTGGGCTTCCCAAGTCTCCAGCCAGAGTACTTTGTCCTAGTGGCGTGGTTCTTCTTCTTCCTCTATGTGACCACAACGGTGGGCAACCTCCTGCTGGTAGTGGTGTTTACTTTGGAGCGCAGTCTCCATGAGCCCATGTACATCATCATGGTCAGCCTGGCCCTCTCAGATATAGGTAAATATGATATCATTTGTCTCACCTGCCCCCTGTCTTCTGCTCTCAGGCTCTGGTGTATTAGGTGTTACACTGCTTTTATAAAAAATGAAAAATAAATATTACTCCTAATACTCATCACTTGGCTCTTTGAAACAATGAAAGAAACATTGATGCTCTTAGTAACTGTGCAATTTACTGTCATTGACCTTTATAACAGTGGAGGCAATCTGGATCGCCTAGGTTTGAAAATTAATGTGATCTTTCATGTTATGTCTTTTCATTTTTTCTTCCAGAAAACAGTAGAACTGTCTCGTGTGATCTGCTTTGCCTTGACATCTCTCACTTTTCTCTTTTTCCTGTAGGTTTTGCCACAGTGGCTTTACCCAAACTAATTGCTCGCTACTGGTGGAATGATGGGAGTCTTGGCTTTCACACTTGCTTCTTCCAAATGCATATGATCCACTATTTTGGCTCCTTGAATTCTCTGATTTTATTGACCATGGCCCTGGACAGATATCTGGCCATCTGTTTTCCTCTCAGGTGAAAAAAATAAGTTTGATTAGTCTCATCTCTCTTTTCTTTCCCCCTCACTCTTCTCCTGTCCATCATTCCCTCTCTTTCTGCCTCTCTTTCTCTCCTCAGATACCCGACAATGATGACAAACCAAACCATGGCAGGCTTGACTCTCTTCTGCTGGGGGATAGCTCACATCTTCCCTGGCATTAGCACCATCAACTTTTCCTTGATGCCGTTTTGTGGACCCAACAAAATCATACAAGCCTTCTGTACCATCATGTCGCTCAAATCTCTAGTGTGTGTGGACACCAGTCGACAATACAGTCTTGCCTTTGCTGTAGCGATGTTCATTCTTTATGTTCCTTTAGCATTCATCATCTTCTCTTACATTTGCATCGTCATCTCAGTATTGCGCATGGCCAAAGGACAGGTGAGGCTCAGCTGTTTTTATCCTTAGATAATGGTGTATTTTTAAATCTTGTATGTTTGTCGGATTAGGCCAGATACTTTCATAATTAAGATTACAATGCACCAAGTGCTGCATCCTAAAATTCACAAGGTCGCAGACTTTGCCTAGATTAGAGCATTTTATCTTTTTGTGCAGCAACTACTGCTTTCCTAAATGTGACATGTATTTTCTATCTTTCTATTTTATAATTCATAACTCATTTTAACCCCAAACTGCTGTCCTCCTCAGGGGAGAATGAAGACCTTCTCTACCTGTGCCACCCAAGGCTGTATCATTGCTATCTACTACATACCACGTTTCTTTGTCTATGTCACACCTTTCATTCCTAACCTGACAATGACCCCCGACAAGAGTATAGCTACCACCGTCTTCTACAGTCTTTTCCCTCCAGTCATCAACCCGTTCATCTACTGTCTGAGAACAAAGGAGATCAAGCAAATATTCAGACGCTGGGTGCAGAAAAGAAAGGGTGTCATGCCTACAAAGCATGGCCAAATTGTTGCTGTCACCATGTCAAACTGACAAATCATCCATCACCTTTTACTGTTGTTTTGATGAGCATGAAAATGAAATTACTGATGTGTATATGGTAATATATGCTACTATAATATATATATATATACTGTATAAATATATATTGTACTTTCACTCTATCTGTATGTGAACCAATCATGCTTTAATTCCAAATTAAAAGCCATTCTGCATCCACTGTCCATTTCCTGCATTAAAACGTAAACAAATGCTTCTAAGTCCTGTAGTTTCAGACTGAACTGTTATGATCTGTAACACAGTAGGAAGAAGCTGAAGGTTTGGGAGTTTTGGGACACAGACAGCATCAACATAATTTGAAACATTTTACTATCTGAACAATTTGGTGCTCTGATGGGAACGTACTGTAAGAAACAGACGACATTTCCATCCGATTGTGAATCAAAACACACACACAGAGAAGCTGCAGACATTTCTGATACAGGCTGTCAAAACCAAAACAGACAAATGTTTAATTGTTGCAAGAAAGAGACACAAAAGCAAAAGGGTAGAAGAAGGAATCCATACACATGACCTTTTAGTTTTCAAACAACTCTTTTCCTTTACACACTGAGTTGAGAGTGAATCCAATGTAAAGATTTTTTAATATGATGTTGACAGAACCTCTTGGAAGCTGTGTTTATATAAGTCCTGAAATTTTTGTCATCCAGGAAATGTGTGTTAATAAGGCTTCCATAGACCTTTACCCTTTTTTTAATACAGGGTTATTTCAAGGTTCTTGAATCCTTCTAAAGGAAAAGTAAATATATTTAGAGTGCAGCGATTTAACTGACAGCATGATCTGAAAATGAGGCAGTAATGACAGAGATTATAAGAAGGAAATTAAGTTATCTACTGGAGCAAACGTAGGACGACTTCAAAACAAACGATAGACTAAATATTAGACAAGAGCTCATAAAATACATTTATATATTACACAGACATTTTAAAACAACAGCGTCATAGATTTACTCCCAAGCTATAATAAAATAAAAATGGAAAATCTGTTTTCTTGGGGGTACAGGACAAATGTAATAATATCAAGTAGTTTTAAATGTAGATAATGAGGTGTTTACTGAAAAAAAAGAGCACCAAAATAATCCATCTCATATAATAAAAAAAAAATTGGTGTTGTTTTTCCTGCTGCACTTTGGCCTACTGGCTGTTATGCAAACTAGACAAGTGACTCAACAGCATCACATGGTTGCCACGGAAAAATGAAGCAATTATTTTTTATTTATTTTTTTATTGCGCTAAGACTTCATCAGCTTGAATGTTGAGTGAAGTTCTTGGTATATAGTCACACCCAGGTCTCCACTGAAGCTTTAGTGTTGCCTCTCACTTGTAAGTCACTTTGAATAAAAGCATCAAATGAGTAAATGTGAATGTGAATGAGCTTCAG